CCGCCGTCGCCTCCGCTTCGCCAGTCCGCAATCTTCGCGAGCACCACTCAAAACGCCAACCACTGGCGGCAAACACCTCACGACGGAGACTACCTCCAACACGACGATTACCACCACAATCAGCACCATCATGAGCTCGGTGAGGGTCATGCGCATGAACACGAGCATGCGCATCATCAGTTGTCGGCATCAGCTCCAGCAAGCCCCGACTTTCCGCGGCGCCAACGCGTCTATCATTTCGTACCGGTGTCTCAGTCTGCTAACGGCCGCGCCGCCGGCGGCAGTGACGCGGTTTGCAAGCCGTCGCCTGCGGCCGGACGTCTGCGCGTTCGCGGAGGGAAGCTCGTGTCGCATCCTTCCTCGCCGTATCAGTCGTCGCTGATGACGCCGCCGCAAGTTCCGGCGAAGACGTCGCAAGTTCCGCCGGCAAAGTCGCCGCGAGTTTCGGCTGCAAAGACGCCGCCCCAACAGCGGCATTTGAGGCAAGTTAGGCCCCTCCGCCAGCGCGAATCGCCTCATGCCGCTTCGCCGCCGGTTGCGCCACCGCGCGCGTCGATGCCGCGACTCACGCCGTCGCCGCAATCCATATCACCCTCTCCGTCGATCGCCGTCGCTCCTCCCCATTCGTCTCCGCCGTTCGCTCCTCCCAAGCCATCGCCGTCATTTTCGCATGTTTCCCCATATTTTTCGCCGACGCCAGCACCAACCGAGCGTTCTAGGCTTGTCTCGCCCAACCACCGTCCGCCCTTGCCGAACCTAAAAGGCCAGGTTCCGCACGAAAAGCTCCGCCTTCCCAACCAGCCGACTCCGCCTCTTTCTGCCGCTCAACGCCGCTCTCCGCCGCTATCTCCGCAAGCTCCACCTCGGCGCCATGCTTCCGCGCCGCGAAACTGTTCACATTCTCGACAATCACCACCCAGCCCTGTGCTTTCCCCCAACGCTTCGAATAAGTCTCTTGGAGACGGAGACGTGTTTTTTGCGCCTTCTCCGCCGGCCTCTGCGCCGCGCACGGGCTTCAGGTCGGGCCAGCGACGACCTAGCTTTCGCCCGTGCGGGGGTGACGGAGACCGCTGCATTCTGCGGTGCAATAGCGACAATCACATGGAACGGGCTCGGCGCGCTGCTGGTTCGCATCCGGTTAGGAGGTGCGGGGGATGTGAGGAACAGTGCCAGTCGCGGTTGAAGCAGGCGCTTTTGTCGCCCTGCAGATCCTGTGTGACGATTCCTGTGTGCGGGAGTTGGCATCCGTGCTCATCGTCATCCTCGTCTTCAGCAGCCGCGCTATCATCTACAGCAACCGAGGATTCATTTGTGCAAAATGAGGTTTATTCGGCGGTCTTCACAGAAAGCCCATCTTTGGTGCAAGAAAACACGACCAGATTCAACAGCAATGGTGACCTGAAATCCTACAGCTCTCCTAACTCGAGCGCTAGCAAGCTACATAGGCCTGTATCTGAAGTACTTTGCGTTTGAGGGAGTCGAAGGAGTAGGTGATAGGGGTAGAGTTCAGTTCACCCCATTTTCAGGGCCCTCGTACAAAAGCGCGTTCTGGTTCACCCCTGAATTTTTTGACATCTTCCCAAAATACTAGCCGCCACAATTGGTGTGCTTTAAAACTTGACTCTAAAATAGTGAACCCATGCCCAGCTTGGAAGAGAGGGTACCGTTTCCCAGAATACAAGAGCCCGTGGGGTTATAATAAATCGCTTATTATCGCGGATTTTAATAAGCGGCAGGGTTAATTATATGACAACTTGATTTCTCTACACCAAATTGTAGATCTCGTTTTGCCGATTGTAATCGAGTCCAAATTATATCGAGTTGCGAAACTAAAATCTCGCGCAGATTCTAGTCCAAATTATATTTTCTAAATCTCGCGCAGCTTGGCGGGTATTGGTTCCCTGCCAACACAGGGAGACAAAATGACAGCACATACTGACAGCTTGTACTGATACGAACGGTCGTGTGTGTGTTTCAGCTTTCTGCCCAAATTCAGGCGGCATTCAGATGTGAGGAAACGAGGCTCTGTTCGGCAACCGTTAAAAAAGCCGTTAATATCAGGCTCGGGGACCGGCTACAGTAAAACAATAAGCGAACGTTCGGTTATCAAGGTTCGAGATAGGCGTTCTGCTGCCGAACCTGAGGGCGTTAAAATGCCTGCCGAACGGCCCTTTTATTGCTGGCGTTTTTTGCAAAACGTTGGTTCCGGGAAATCACCTCCACGGGCAAAAGAACGGACCACTGATCCGCCCCCTGGTGCGCCGTCGAGAGCTTGCACCATGCGGCGGTTTGGTAATGCGGCCAATCATATGCGACTGGCCGAAAATGCAGACCAATCATGTGAATTCAGGAAGGTGCTGCGAAACTCACAACCTTTCCGTGCCGTTGTTTTAGCGCCCATTAACGCCAGCCGAACAGCATCCACATGATTTTTTGCAGTTGCACAGCACATCGACGAAATTCTTCTGGTTCCCGAGCCTGCGTCTGGGCCAGCGGGTTTATAACGCCCATAACGCCCATAACTCCTGCCGAACAGGGCCCGAGTCTATGTGCAGAATCGAGTTTTCGACCATATGCTAATCTGCAATAAGGGGAGTTGGACCGAATGCATGGCTTATGCTTTACGTGCAATAAATATCAACGGGCCCACACACATGTCTCACAACGTTCGGTGGAACATTCGTAGTCTATGTGCAGAACGAATTTTCGACCATATGCTAATCTGCGAGATGAGGACCGAATGAACGACTTATGCTATATGTGCAATTAATTCCAAGTCCTTCTTCTGATAAGTTCGAGCCGCGCTGGCCAGCTAGCGCAGAATAGGCTATCAGCCAGCCCTTGATACGTGTCATTGCCAGCTTTCTGCCAAGATTCAGGGCGACATCCAGATGACGCCAGGAAAAACGTTAGATTCAGTGAAAAAAATGGTGTCGGTGGAACATTTCGGACCGGCGATCCTACTACCCGCAGGTTCTCTCAGCTCTGGGGCCCATGAAGCTTCACGTGCGTCGAGTCGATGCTACTTAGTACTCAAACTCATTATAGAGGGCTCTAGCCTAGCGTCGTGCAGCGCATGTTGTCGGAGCGGTTCGCCGCGAACCACCGTGGTTCCAATTTTTCATCGTGACGATGCTAACGGCGAGATTCGGAGTGACGACCTAGACAGGTATCAGGAATCGTTTCTCGCAGAGCGGACACGAAGACGAGGCTCAAACTGCCATGATCAGTCGTTCCGAGTCGCCTCGCTGAGCCCTTTTTCCGCACTGTTCTCAATTGAGTGCGTCGACCGGAAAATTGTCCGTATTTCCTCGAGTTTACATACTTTTAAAGTTGAGTGTCGCTAACTTTCGAAAGGTGGGCCGTACCTGCTGTGAAAGTGTACTGTGAGACACGATGCCGCTTCCTTTAATTCGTCCAGCCGTCACCGAGGATTTACACGTCAAGACCGACCAACATGGTTACCGCCCCAGACTCGCAGCGGCAGCGACGAGGGCTTCGCACTTTCGCAGCCAATCGGAGTCTGCATTTTCCTTCGATCAGAACCGTTCGGAAGGTCAGAATGCATCGGAATGGGAAAGCGGGGAATGCGGCGAGGTCGGCGGCGAGAATGGCGACGGGGGCGAGACGAGAGGAGGCACCGTCCAGGCCAGAAGATTCGCTACCAGCGCACATCTCGGCGTGTCGCCGGCGGCTAAAGTCGTTCTCGATCATGATCACATTGATAGGCGAGTCGCCGCAAACGCCGTTCTAGGCCGCCAGCAAGAACAGCCTGTTCTACAAAATGCTGAGCTTCATCCTTTACCGAGTTCCCTTCAAACGGGCTCGAGGCTTTCGAAGCCGCAATCGCCGCTGCCACGTCATCGCCGGTACCGATCAGAGGATGCGTTCTCCTTTTACGAACCGTCTCCGCGCGCATCGGCGGGCGGCGCCAATGCCAATGGCGAGAGGGGGTCGCGGCGCGTCGGCGAGATGACGATGGAGCGAGGAATGCAGCAGCTGAGCACCAACGGCGGTCTCCGAGTCGCCGGACGAGACGGCGGACGAGACGGCGGACGAGCCGGCGGACGAGCCGAGACCTCGGCAGAAGATGCGGAGGTGGCGGCGGAAGCGGAGGCGGAAAGTACTGGCAACGGCGGGGAAACATCCGAGCATTATGCGCGGAGGAAAAGCGCCGGAAGCGCGATTCCGCGGAGTCGGGAACGATGGCAGGCGGAGGACGATGTGGGGAGAGTTTCCGCGGCCCCAGCCACCTCCCCCACTATTACCGCCCCCGCCTCCGCCTCCGCCTCCGCCTCCGCCATTCCGCGTGTTCCGAGCCCCACGGGGCTTCCGCCACGGTCGCTGTCCCCGTCAGAAGCAGGCCCGTACAGCTTGGTAAAGTCCCCCGCTACCTCCCCCCCGCCCAACCACCGCCGATCGCGGAGTAGCGGAGCCTTTCTCTTGGAAGGCGGAATGATGGGGGGACTTCCTCCCATTAGCCCGCGAACCAGCGGGTTTGGCGCGAGTTTTGCAGGCAGTGGCGGCGTGCAACTGCCCCCGCTGAGCCCCAGGGCGGGCGGAAAGGGGGACGGCGGCGCTTGCCCTCTTCCCAGCCCCATTGCGCGGAGCAAAACGACTGGCGGAAGCTTCGCGAGGGGTTCCGCGGCCGGGCCAGTTGCTGACGTGGCAAGCCTCCCCAGAAGCCGTACCACATACGCGATGGAGGAAGGCGGAGGGGGAGGGGGGGGGGGGGAGGAGGAGGGGGGGGGAGGAGGAGGGGGGGGGAGGAGGAGGGGCGGGGGGAGGCGGACGTGTGGGCTTGGGGCGAGAAGGCAGGGCGGGTGGCGGAGGAGGAAACTCCCCCTTACTGAATCGGAAGAAGGGCACGGGGGGAGGGGGTGGCGGGATCCCTAGAAGCGCGAGCAGTGGGAATCTGGCGCGAATGGGGCAGAGAGGAGGGGGGGTGGGGATGAGCGGTGCGGGCATGGGGTTCACACCCCCCCCCAATGGGTAGTCCGATGCTCGATGCTGGCATGGCGGGAACGGGAATGCCTCGCAGCGCGAGCAGTGGGAATCTGGCGGGCGTGGGGATGAGTGGTGCGGGAGTGGGGATGAGTGGTGCGGGAGTGGGACTCACCCCCACCTTGGGAACAATGCTTGATCCCGCCAGGGGGGGTGGCGGGGTCCCTAGAAGCGCCAGCAGCGGGAATCTGGTGCGAATGGGGCAGAGAGGTGGGGGGATGGGGTTCACCCCCCCAATGGGTAGTCCGATGCTTGAAGCTGGCATGGCGGGAACGGGAATGCCTCGCAGCGCGAGCAGCGGGAATCTGGCGGGGAACATGGGCGGCAGCATGGGCGGCAGCATGGGCGGCAGCATGGGCGGCAGCATGGGCGGCAGCGTGGGCGGCATTAGATTCACTCCCACCATGGGCACAGTGCTTGGGAGTCCCAGGGTCCCTCGAAGCGCCAGCAGCGGGAATATGGGCGGCAGTGGGGCGGGCATGGGCGGGAGTGGTGGGGGCGGCATGAGCAGGAGCAGTGCGGGGGGCGGGAGTAGCGCGGGATTAAGGGTCAGTGGAGTGGGTTTGGGGTCAAGTGGTGTGGGCATGTGGCTGACTGGTTCAACCACAGGTGCTGCGGGTAAAGGGGGAGGGCACAGGAGGACAAGCAGCGTTAGCAGCAGCAGTGCTGGTGGTGGTGGTTTCGCCAGCAGCAGTGCTAGTAATATGCAGCAACAGCAGCAACCGTACAGCCATGGCAGTCCCATCAACAGTGGCAGCAGTGGCAGTATGATGGGGAGGCACAGGCGATCTGCTAGCACAAGCTACCAGCCTGATTCCACTCCCACAAACCTTCCTGATTGCAGTAGGCCCAATGGATTCCCAATGGGATTCCCAATGGGATTCCGGGCTCCGAGAATCGTGCTTCCACACCACAACAGCCTCAGCCCTGCCACGTCACCGCCCTCCACCAGCCCACGTGGCAGCAGCATCACTGTCGCTCCCGGTGACACGTCACTCAAGTCGCCCTACACCAGCCCGCCTTATGCCAGTCCACGTGGCACTCCGCCCTCCCCCAGTTACCGCCTCCCCCCCCATAAAACTTCTCCCTCTGCTGCTCATGCTGCCGCTGCTGCTCATGCTGCCGCTGTTGCTCATGCCACGTCGCTTGGAGGGCGTGTGCTAGGACCAGCACAATTACTTGGAGGCTTCACAACAGCAGTAACAGGAGCAACAGGAGCAACTGGAGCAGCACAGTTACTAGGAGGTTTTACAGCAGCAACAGGAGCAACAGGAGCAGCACCAGCCATTCCCGCGAGCTTCTCTCGCTCCCCGAGTCACCGAAGCCCCAGTGTGCACAGCCCGAGCCGCCGCAGCCCGAAGCTGAAAAGCCCGAGCCACTCCAGCCCCAGCGTCAGCCGGACCAGCAGCTCAAGTCCGGCAGGAAATGCATCGAACAACTTAATCGGCTCCTCCTCGCCAACTTACCTCCCTAGTCCAGCGTCCTCGGCGTCTTTAAATGCAAATAGTCCTTATGCGAATTACCCGTATACCCCAGGAGGGGGCAGTGTGGTGCATAGCCCTCAATCCATGGCTGCTCTAGCCGAGAGAGACAAGCAAAAGCTGGCCGAAATCCAGAGCTTCTTTGCTTCGGGAGGGCTAGGTTCGGGAGGGCTAGGCTTGGGAAGGCGAGGTTCGGGACAATGGGGGATGGGAGGAACCACTCCAAAGATGTCCCCCCATACCTCCCCTCCTGTCACTTCACCTTCGCGAGGAGGAGCAGGAGCAGGTGGAGGAGGAGAGAGAGGAGGAGCAGGAGCAGGAGCAGGTGGAGGAGGAGGGAGAGGAGGAAGGGCAGGGAAGAAGGGGGTGCTGGGGCTGTTTCTAGGGCCTATTCGCACGCCCAGTCCCAGTGAGTATTACCGGGTTGGTTCTCCTGGTGGTGGTGGGTGGATGGGACGGGTGTGGGGACAGCGAGGGGAAGGAGAGAAGCAGGTGGAAGAGAAGGAGGAGGAAGGGGAAGGGAAGGAGAAGGAGAAGGAGAAGGAGAAGGAGAAGGAGAAGGAGAAGGAGAAGGAGAAGGAGGAGGAGAAGGAGGAGGAGGATTGGGGGAGGTACATGGGTGGTGAGGCGTATGAGGAGAGTGAGAATGGGGAGGGGGAGGAGGGAGAAGCAGGAGGAGCAGCAGCAGCAGCAGCAGAATTGGCAGCCAGTGGGGAGGAAAGAAGAGAGAAGGCAGCAGGGGAGCAGGGAAATCTGACAAAAGAAGCTGTTGCAGCAGCAGGCGCAGCAGCAGCAGCAGGCGCAGCAGCAGCAGCAGGTGCAACGGCGGCACAAGGAAAAAGAAGCTGTAACGGGGGAAGGCACAGGCGCAGTAGCAGCAACAGCACGAGGCGAAGCTACCAGAAAAGAGACTGCAGGATCCACAGCAGGGGCCCACCCAGGAGTCCGGCCAGGAAAGGCGGATGTGAAAGCAATGGTGCGGGCAGCGGGAGAAGGAGGAAAGTCAGACACGAATAGCACGGTGCAGGCAGGAGCAGGAGGAGCAGGAGGGAAAAAGTCCAAGGCAAAAGCCATGGTGCAGGCAGCGGGAGCAGGAGGAAAGGCAGACGTGAAAGCAGCCGTGCAGGCAGGAGCAGGAGGGGAAAGGGTGAAAGAGAAAGCTGCCAAGAATGAGACAGCAGCAGCAGGAGGGGCAAAGGTGGACGTGAGAGCACTGGTGCAAGCAGCTTTGGAGGAGTGGCGGAGGACGGAGGCAGCAGCAATGCAGCAGCTGGCAGCCTCTGTGCTGGGGAAAGGGTTATCGGACGTGCGCAAGGTGTATCAGCTGGGGAAGGAGCTGGGGCGGGGCAACTTTGGGGTGATCAGGGAGGCCGTGGATTGGGTGTCTGGGGAGCGGTTTGCCTGCAAGAGCGTCAACAAGAAACGACTGGAGGTGAGGGGAGAGGGGGAGGGGAGGGGAGACGGCGAATAGGGAGTGGGAGAGGGAATATGGGAGTGTTGACGAGATGCAGTTTGCTGTCAATCAAAATTTTCGTCGCCCAGGTGTTTTGGGAATATGGGAGTGTTGACGAGATGCAGTTTGCTGTCAATCCTGCAGTGTCTCGTTTTATCGTCTCGTTTCCTTTGTTGCTAAAGCGTTTACTTCAGGTTAGCCGCTACTCCACTATGAGCTTGAATCCTTGGGAATATGGGAGTGTTGAAGGGATGCAGTTTGCTGTCAATCAAAAATCTCATCACCCTCACCCTCTTGTGTCTTTTTTTTTGCTCCACCTCGGTCCCCCCACCCGTCTTCTGGCCTCTTCTCTCCATAACCTTCCCTCCTTTCCTCCTCTCCATCACCAGTGCTTCATATGAGTTTCGCCTCTCCTCTCCCTCACCTTCTCTCCTCTCCTTCACCAGTGCTTCAAATGAGTGTGGAGGTGGTACGGGCGCTCAAGTGGGGCATGCAGCTCCTTTTACATTGGAACCCCTCACTCGCCTCTTCTTCTCCTTCTCCTCCCCATCCCATCCCACCTGCCAGTGCATGGAAGACTTAGCGGATCTTCGGAGGGAGGTGGAGGTGATGCGAGCGGTCAAGGGATGCAGTTCGGTTTAGAACACCCCCTCACCCACCTCTTCTTTTCCTCCCCTCCCCTTGCACCCCCACCTGCCCCAGTGCGTGGCCGACTTAGCGGATTTGAGGAGGGAGGTGGAGGTGGAGGTGATGCGAGCGGTCAAGGGATGCAGTTCGCTTCAGAACACCCCCTCACTTTTCTCTTCTTTTCCTCCCCATCCCCTCCCACCTGCCAGTGCGTGGACGACATAGCGGATCTCCGGAGGGAGGTGGAGGTGATGCGAGCGGTCAAGGGCCATCCCAACATTGTGTCGCTCGTGGATACGTATGAAGATGACACGGTGAGTTGACACTGGAGATGACATTGTGAGTTGACACTGGAGATGACACGGTGAGTTGACACTGGAGATGACAGTGTGAGTTGACACTGGAGATGACACGGTGAGTTGACACTGGAGATGACATGGTGAGTTGACACTGGAGATGACATTGTGAGTTGACACTGGAGATGACATGGTGAGTTGACACTGGAGATGACATGGTGAGTTGACACTGGCGATCCCTGTCCCCCTTCTCTTCCCCTCCCCGTCCCCACCTTTCCCTCCGCTCCCCTCTCCCCCTCAGCACGTGCACATGGTGATGGAGCTGTGCGAGGGCGGAGAGCTCTCTCATCGCATCAACTAGTGAACCTTACCCGCCTTCTCTTCTCCTCATCACTGCCATGCCGTGACTCTCATCTCCTCTCAACAACCCCTCCCCCCCCCTTCCCCTCTCCCCCTCTCAGCACGTGCACATGGTGATGGAGCTGTGCGAGGGAGGGGAGCTCTCTCTCATCGTTCAACTAGTGAACCTTACCCGCCTTCTCTTCTCCTCATCACTGCCATGCCGTGACTCTCATCTCCTCTCAACAACCCCTCCCCCCCCCTCTTCCCCTCTCCCCCTCTCAGCACGTGCACATGATGGAGCTGTGCGAGGGGGGAGAGCTCCTCGACTCACCCCACTCACCCCACCCCCCCCTGCCTTTCCTGTCAGGACGTGCACATGGTGATGGAGCTGTGCGAGGGCGGGGAGCTATTCGACCGCATTGTTGCGCGCAAACACTACAGAGAGCGCCAGGCAGCACAGGTGAGCGAAAAGCTATTGAGTCGCCTCTGCAGGGTGCTTGTCAGAATGCCAAAGTGCTCGTTGTAAGATGTGCTTCCAAGAGCGCCAGGCAGCGCAGGTGGGCTTTGTGAGGGGAACGATGTTGAGTCGGAGTGAGCAGCTCTCGAGTCTGCTCTGCATGGCGCTGCTGAAAGGGCTCATGTGGCAGTGCAGGTGGGTTTTGAGGAGGGATTGTCTCGTGTCCCTTCGTGCGAGACAGGTGGCCTCATTGATTCGATTCGCGAGTCCATGAATGTGGCCTGTCGATTGGCTCCATATGACAAAGGTGGGCTTACTCCGCATTGGAGGAGCTATATGGAGGCCCCGGTTTTATGGGGTCTGGCAGCACAGATGGTGAGTGGACCCACCCATGGGGTCTAATGGGGCGGATGTTCTGAGTGAGTTGACTCAAGTGGTACCTCGGTACACTGCGTGTAATTCAAAGATTTGAAATATCTAAAGATGCCTCAAGCGCCTTCTGAGACGCACAAGTGTGCCACACTCTGCCCCACGTGCTGCCACACTCTGCCCCACGTGCTGCCACTCTGCCCCACGTGCTGCCACTCTGCCCCACGTGCTGCCACACTCCGCCCCACGGGCTGCCACACTCTGCCCCACGTGCTGCCACACTCTGCCCCACGTGCTGCGCCACTGCCACTCCCTCCGCATCCTTCACCGCAACTTAAAGCCTGAAACCTGCTCCTCTTGTGTGGTGCTGTGCTCTGCTCTGCCCTTCTGTGCGGTGCTGTTCTATTCCATGCAGGTGTGCCGAACTCTCGCCGACGTGCTCCGCTACTGCCACTCCCAGTGCATCCTGCATCGCGACTTAAAGCCAGAGAACGTGCTCCTCGTCTCCACGCGCAGCGACACGCGCGTGAAGCTCATAGACTTTGGCATGGCCTACCGCTTTCAGGAAGGCGAGCGCTGCACGCAGCGCGCCGGCACTCCCAACTACATTTCTCCAGAAGTCATCGCGAAGAATTACGGGACCGAGGCGGACGTGTGGAGCTTAGGGGTGATTCTCTATGTGATGCTGTGCGGGCTGCCGCCGTTTTGGGGCGATTCGACGGAGGAGATCTTCTCGAGTATTCTGTACGAGCCGTTGGATCTGGAGACCGAGCCTTGGCCGGACGTGTCTGCCGCGGCTAAGGACTTGGTTCGGCGGATGCTGTGCCGGAGGTTCGACGAGCGGATCACGGTGCCGGAGATCCTGAGTGAGTGGGCATTGTTGGCATGTGGGGCTTTTTGGAGGGATGCTTGCATTGCTGCTCACTCCCCTTTAGGCTGTGCTGCGAGGCTTGACGAGCGGATAACCATCCCAGAGATCCTGAGTGAGTGGGCATTGTTGGCATGTGGGGATGTCTGTGGGGCTGATTGCAAGGCTGGTTGCAAGGCTGATTGCAAGGTTGCTTGCAAGGCTGATTGCAAGGCTGGTTGCAAGGCTGATTGCAAGGTTGCTTGCAAGGCTGATTGCAAGGCTGGTTGCAAGGCTGATTGCAAGGTTGCTTGCAAGGCTGATTGCAAGGCTGATTGCAAGGCTGGTTGCAAGGTTACTTGCATTGCTGCTCACTCCAACTATCATCGTTATCTGTACAGTGCTGTGCTGTGGGGTGCTATACCATGCTGTGCCATTTTGTGCTGTGCTGTGCTGTGCTGTGCTTTTCTGTGCTTTTCTGTGCTTTTCTGTGCTCTGCTGTGCTGTGCTGTGAGATGCTGTAAGGTGCTGTGAGGCGCTCCCCCCTTCCCCTTTTCCCTTCCCCATCTCTCCCATTGTTTGATGTTTTGAAAATCCTTCTGGTTTATAACCTCTTTTTTTTAAGGAACCCTTCAGTCTTGTAATCCCGTTCTTATGCGTTGATTCGTTTTCAAGCAACGGCTACCTCTCTAAAGCTTTTTCCCTCTAACCTCCTCCCTCCTCCCTCCTCCCTATTCCTTCCCCGTGTCCCCCACCTCGTCCCCCATGTCTTGACCGTGCAACTGTGCACTGTGGACAAACTCATCAATGTGAATCAAATACTTCAACAGAGCATCCATGGATTAAAGCCCTCACCCTCACATAAGGTGCTTGGGCCAGGGCACAAATTATTATCTCAAGGCAATGATAGCCGAAACCAACAAATGTTGGGTTTCTGTCTTTAGAAGGCAAGTTGGTTTTAGGATGTTGCATTGCATGCTCAAGATGGCATGGAGTATTGGTATATTATATATATTTGAGGCTGATGCCCTGCTCTGCTCGCCTTGTCCTTTATAGCAGAATCCAGGCTTTATCGGAGTCCACTCAAGAGTTGTGGAAACTCCACACACAGTCTTCCTAATCCGAGTCCACTACTTAGGGCGTGTTCCTACGCCTCCTTAGGTGAACCCCTTGTCAGACTTGCCTGATTCAATGCGTAAATGGTTTGGGATTTAGGGGAATTTAGTGTGCTGGACGCGAGCTTATAAGATGTTTGCCTGATAAGAGGACGTAGGAACACGCCTTTACTCACAACCTACGAGGTCAGCGTGCTTCACACAGGGGTACAGTCTTTTGTTCGAGCTCTTGGGAGCCTTTTCTGATAGAATAGAATCCACAATGGCGACCGACGCGTGCACGAAACCCGCGCGTTTCAACGGCGCTTCCGTTCCTGCACCGTTAAGTCCAGGAAGAATAGGGCTTTCCGGAGCAGCAGAGGCAGTGGGTGGATTAGGGCTGTCTCGCGCGGTCGAGGCGGCGCGGTCCGCGATCGGGCGCGCGGTGGAGTTGGAGCTCTTAAACGACCTGCGGATAAAAGGCGTGCTCTCAGACTGCGATCACAGGCTTAAGTGCGTTGCAAATTTCGTTTCAGCACAACGACTAAACCTTGGGGTTACATGCAGTCTGATCCTGCTCTGATTTCACATGGCTCTGCTTGAAGCGCATTACCATGGTGACGGTTTTTTTTTCCTACTGCCATCCAATCACACCTGCTCAGGCCTCAGTGCGTGAAAGTTCTCGTCCTCACTACTAACCATGTCGATTTGATTCGTCAGCCAAATCCGTGTTTTCGTGCTCAATTCTAGTATCCGTTTCAGTCAAACCCCCGACTCTTCCTGCTTTTCCTGCTGTCATATTGCCTCGCTGTACCTGCAGTTGCACTGTCACCGCAGCTTCCACTGAAACTGCCATGGTACGTTTCATCAGCCTCCTCTCTCTCACTACGTCCTATCCTCCCTCTTCCTCTCCTCCTCTCCCCCCCCCCCTACCTCCCCCTCCTCTTCGTCATTCTCCCCTACCTCCCCACCCTAGTTTTTGTTCAGTGTCTTCCTTCTTTTACATCTAGTAAGCTCTATGATGGGCTATGCATTGGATTGGATCATGGGCCATGCATAAGATGAAGGGTTATGCATGGTATGATGGGCCATGCATGGGATGAAGGGCCATGCATGGGATGATGGGCCATGCATGGGATGATGGGCCATGCATGGGATGATGCGCCATGCATGGAATGATGCGCCATGCATGGAATGATGCGCCATGCATGGAATGATGCGCCATGCATGGGATGATGCGCCATGCATGGGATGATGGGCCATGCATGGGATGATGGGCCGTGCATGGTATGAAGGGCCATGCATGGGATGATGACCAATGCTTGGAAGGACGGGGTGTGCATAATATGCTGTAGGTGATAAGCCATGTATGCATTACCTCTACCCTTGACCGTGAACCGGACTGGAGTTACCCTGTCGTCCTGAGTGCAACCCTCTCCACCATCCCCATCCCACCGTTGCAGGGCGAGTCGCTGTCGTTTCCAGCGTTGTTTGTGAGAGCAAGAGCTGTTCGCTTGCTGCGCGTACCGAGCATATGTACGCTGAGCCGGCAAGGGGCTTGCTAAGCTATCCTTTGTACAGATACTACTGTAGTTTCATTTCCTGTGTGCATGGATAAAATCAAAATCACATACCCTATAACATGTGCTCACATCATACAAGCACGTACAGCACTCCCTACAGAATGCACAGCTGCACACACCTACCGGTAGGTTCACTAGCTGCTCACTAATAGCGGTCCTTCCTTCTACCAGCTCTTCAAAAGCTGCTCCTAAAAGCCCACCGTCCCCACCCCACAATCACTAAATTCTGGCTACAGAGTCCACTCCACAAAGGTGACTCAAAGATCCGCCAATGATGCTCAGAGCTAGACGATGGGGCAGTCTAGCTGCACGGTTACAAGCCCTGATGCTGCCCGCCAGCTCTGGAGACAAACAGAGAGCACAAGGGCAGTAGAGGCGAATTGTCAGGGAGGAGGGTGTTTGTACGGTAAGAGATGAATAGGAGCGGACAGGGTGGAGGCGCATCTGTGCAGTGGTGGTTTCACCAGCAGCAGCCATGGTTGCATTACCGGCACTGCCCCTCACTACAGACAGCCGGGCTGTAGCGAGCCAGGGGGGACAACAGGAGGGCAAAGAAAGAAATAGGAACGTACCTGAGCCTGGGCCACCCTCACGAATGTCACTCGGGCACAGTCATTCATGACTGCTTCGGACGGTGCAGTGGTGGCTTCACCAGCCACAAGGATACAAGACCAATGGGGGGGCAAACGATGAGAAAGAGTTGTACCTGAGCCTGGGCGACCCTCACGAATGTCACTCGCGCACAATCATCCATGACTGCTTCGGACGGTGCAGTGGTGGTTGCACAAGCCACACAGACAAAAGGCAATTCAGAAAAAGGAAGAGCACGAACCTGAGCCTGGGCGACCCTCACGAATGTCACTCGGGCACAATCATCCATCACTGCTTCAGACGGTGCAATTGAGGTTTCAGCAGCAGCAGCCATGGTTGCATTACCCGCACTGCCCCTCGCTGCAGTGCGCGCTGCTACAGCTGGGCTGTAGCGGGCCAGGGCGGCAGCTGCAGCGGACAGGGTGGAGGCGCATCTGGAGCAGGCGGTATCTGCTGAGGCGCAGGCCTTGGCCAGGCGAGATACGTTCTGACTGCAATGAGCAAGCGGGGAGGGAAGGGGGGGAGGGGATGATAGGGACACTTGGTGTGTCAATCGATAACAGCAGTCAGGGTGGAGGCGCATCTGGAGCAGGCTGTATCTGCGGAGGCGCATGCCTTGGCCAGGCGAGTGACGTTCTGACTGCAATGAGCAGGAGGGGAGGGCGGGAAGGTGGGAGGGAAGGCGGGAAGAGGGGAGGGGTCCGGGGGGACATAGGAGCAGACAGGGAAGGGATGAATAGGAGCGGACAGGGTGGAGGCGCATCTGGAGGAGGATGTATCTGTCTATTGCGAGGCACATGCATTTGAAAGGCACATGACCTGCAGGAATCTGGGGTGAGGCGCAGCGCAGGTACGACGAAACAGGGAAATAAAAGATGGACGGATGAAAATGAAACAAGAAGTTGGGACAGCGCAATACGTTCCTCTTAGCGCAATACAGTCCATCAAGGACCTGCACCCACACAGCAGGGCACTTGTTGCTGTTGGGGGGACCCACTGCCACCAGAGGAAGCAGAGTGCGATGAGAGAGAAGGAGAAAACCTTGTTGTTGAGACAACAAACAAGTACTCATGTTCCCATCAAACATGTCTGTTGTTAGACACTCACAGTCGATCAACGTCCTGCACCCACACCACCGGGCACTTGTTGTTCGGGGGATCCACAGCCACCAAGAGGAGGAGGTTACCTTGTTGGTGGCAGAATAACTACCTACAATTCCATGCTACCTTCTATGCTTTCGCACTTACAGTCGATCAACGTCCTGCGCCCACACCACCGGGCACTTGTTGTTCGGGGGATCCACAGCCACCAAGAGGAGGAGGTTACCTTGTTGGTGGCAGAATAACTACCTACAATTCCATGCTACCTTCTATGCTTTCGCACTTACAGTCGATCAACGTCCTGCGCCCACACCACCGGGCACTTGTTGTTCGGGGGATCCACAGCCACCAAGAGGAGGAGGTTACCTTGTTGGTGGCAGAATAACTACCTACAATTCCATGCTACCTTCTATGCTTTCGCACTTACAGTCGATCAACGTCCTGCGCCCACACCACCGGGCACTTGTTGTTCGGGGGATCCACAGCCACCAAGAGGAGGAGGTTACCTTGTTGGTGGCAGAATAACTACCTACAATTCCATGCTACCTTCTATGCTTTCGCACTTACAGTCGATCAACGTCCTGCGCCCACACCACCGGGCACTTGTTGTTCGGGGGATCCACAGCCACCAAGAGGAGGAGGTTACCTTGTTGGTGGCAGAATAACTACCTACAATTCCATGCTACCTTCTATGCTTTCGCACTTACAGTCGATCAACGTCCTGCGCCCACACCACCGGGCACTTGTTGTTCGGGGGATCCACAGCCACCAAGAGGAGGAGGTTACCTTGTTGGTGGCAGAATAACTACCTACAATTCCATGCTACCTTCTATGCTTTCGCACTTACAGTCGATCAACGTCCTGCGCCCACACCACCGGGCACTTGTTGCTTGGCGGATCCACAGCCACCAAGGGGAGCAGACTGCGACGAGAGGAGGACGAAGAGGAGGAAGAGGAGGAGGCGTTGGTGGGAGGGTTGCAGAGGGAGAAGACGTTGGCAGTAATGCGCGGGCGGACAGGGGACGCCTGCAGATGCGCCTGGAGGGACTGAGGAGCGGATGAGGGATGGAGAGGAGCAGACAGACCATACGGAACGGACGAATGGAAGAGGAGAAGTATTTTGAGTGAATTTGAGATTTAGCAGTGATCTGAGGGACTGAGGTGTAGAATAGGAAGGGAGAGAACGGGAAAAGCAGGGAAATGCAGTGGAATGATTAGGAGATATGGGTGAGCAATTGGCTCGAAACACATATCGGTAAACATTCGTAGAGACGTTTGTTTGAAGCAGCTTCGCAGCGAAGAAGAACATGGGCTCCCTCACAGCGAAGCTCCTCTGGAACGACAAGGGAGCGCTCTGAGACCTCTTGACCCCTTGAGACCTCTCACAGTGTTGCAAAATACCTTCCTGCAGGGCGTGTTGAGCTCGGGCTGCGTGGTGATAGCGAGGAAGAACATGGGCTCTCTCACAGCGAAGCTCCTCTGGAACGCCAGCAGCGGCCCGCAGCACGCGTCTGGCGAAGGAGATGGGCCAGAGCAGGCCGAGAGAGCTGGAGGGGGTGTACGAGCAGGCATGAGCAGATGGGAAACACAAAGAAGCGCACATGAGGTGAGCAGCTCCTCTTGCAGCACGCGTCTGGCGAAGGAGACGGGCCAGAGCAGGCCAACAGAGCTGGAGGGGGTGTACGAGCAGGCATGAGCACCGGGGAGAGGAAAAGGCAAGAAAGGAGGTGAGGCAGTCAGGTGAGGTTATCTAATCTGGGGTGAGGGTGCCCGAGAGCAGGCCGGCAGGGCTGGAAAGGGTTTCACGAGCATACGGAATGCACAAGCACAAGGAAAGGAGAGGAGAAAGCATACTGGTGGTGTTCCCGTTGGAGAGGGAGGTGAAGTCCACGTTGCAGCCGTAGGTCGAAATCGAGGTGAATTAGTCGACTCAATGTCACAACATGCATGAGATGGAAACATACCTGTGATGTTCCCGTTGGAGAGGGAGGTGAAGTCCACGTTGCAGCCGTAGGTCGAAATCGAGGTGAATTAGTCGACTCAATGTCACAACATGCATGAGATAGAAACATACCTGTGATGTTCCCGTTGGAGAGGGAGGTGAAGTCCACGTTGCAGCCGTAGGTCGGAATTGCTGGTGGAGGAGCTGGCACCGGGCTTGCCCTTGCCCTGCTGCCGCTGCCGCTTCCGCAGCTGCTGCTGACAGGGCTGACAGGGCTGGTCATCATTCTACGAGCAAATCTATAGGAGAGGAGAGGACATACATGTGATGTTCCCGTTGGAGAGGGAGGTGAAGTCCACGTTGCAGCCGTAGGTCGGAATCGCTGGTGGGGGAGCTGGCACCGGGCTTGCCCTTGCTCTGCTGCTGCCGCTGCTGCCGGTGCTATTGTTGCTGCTGTTGCTACTGTTGCTGCCACTTGCGCTGCTGCTGCTGCTGTTGCCGCCGCTGATGGTGAAACTTCCGCCATCTGTGCTATCATCTTCATCAGTGGTGGTGGTACCGGGAGGAGTGGTGGTGGCAGGAGGAGTGGTGGTGGCAGGAGGAATGGTGGTGGCAGGAGGAGTGGTGGTGCTGGGAGGGGTGGTGGTGCTGGGAGGAGTGGTGGTGCTGGGAGGGGTGGTGGTGCCGGCAGGAGAGTCATCAGGGCCAGCGGCTCTAGGTCGGCTCGAGGTCGCATTCGTGTCCGCTGCATCGGCGAGAGATGTGATCACCGGAAGAATTAGCAGCACCAGGAGGACCAGCTCGAAGCACCTGCTCGGTCGGGGAAAAACAATGCGAGACACACACAGAAAAGGAAAGAAACAAAGAAATACTATTTGTTTCTATGCATGAATAAAAACAATCAATAAAGAAGAACAAGGAAGCGCCACGATTCTTTCCACTCGCGTAGAGGCGAGTTTTAAGGCGTCTCAAAAGCCGAGGCGAGTTTATGAAGCGTTTCAAAAGCAGAGGCGAGTTTCATACTGACAGTTGAAGGGCGGAACCAAGGAAGCAAGGAAGCAAGGAGGAATTTCGTCACCATTGCCTTCATCAAGCAGACTGTTGCAAACTGCCATGATAAATGAGGAATGGGCTTGAAGTATGCAGTGGCAAACGTACCGTTTCATCGCTTGCTGAGAAGAGGAGGCCATGCGCTTCATGTTGACGGTAAGGGGTAGTGAGAAGTGGTGACAATTGGTGTGACGGGGTAAAGAGTGGTGATACGAGGTGAAACGCGGCGAGAGATGGTAACAAGTGGTGAGCAGAGGCGTTTCCACTGAACGTCAGATTCGCTGAAGGATCGAATTATCAGACGCGCGAGATGAAGCAATCTCAAGTGCCTTAACCATCGGTTATGGTAGTCCATATTTAAACCATTGAGCCTGGCGACGATTCCCAGAAAATCAGGAGCTTTCGTGAGCTCAACAGGAGAATAGCACGCGGCTCGAGTTTTAAGGCGTCTCAAAAGCCGAGGCGAGTTTATGAAGCGTTTCAAAAGCAGAGGCGAGTTTCATACTGACAGTTGAAGGGCGGAACCAAGGAAGCAAGGAAGCAAGGAGGAATTTCGTCACCATTGCCTTCATCAAGCAGACTGTTGCAAACTGCCATGATAAATGAGGAATGGGCTTGAAGTATGCAGTGGCAAACGTACCGTTTCATCGCTTGCTGAGAAGAGGAGGCCATGCGCTTCATGTTGACGGTAAGGGGTAGTGAGAAGTGGTGACAATTGGTGTGACGGGGTAAAGAGTGGTGATACGAGGTGAAACGCGGCGAGAGATGGTAACAAGTGGTGAGCAGAGGCGTTTCCACTGAACGTCAGATTCGCTGAAGGATCGAATTATCAGACGCGCGAGATGAAGCAATCTCAAGTGCCTTAACCATCGGTTATGGTAGTCCATATTTAAACCATTGAGCCTGGCGACGATTCCCAGAAAATCAGGAGCTTTCGTGAGCTCAACAGGAGAATAGCACGCGGCTCGAGGAGCTATTAGCAAGGAATGTTTGGAGCGGGAAAAACGAACGGAGCGAGCCATTTGCGCCTCAATTGACGAAATTCACGTCGTTCAATCCAAGACGTGCTCGTTCAGCATTTTTCAATTGAGAAGAAGGACCCCTCTACAGTTACGATGGCGAATTGGTTGCGAATTATGTGTGATGGAGCACATGTCCTGGTTCGGTTCCATAATCCGCATGGTCCCTAGTTCCCGTGTTCCACGCACTGTAATTTCCAGAGAGCCTAGAGAACAGATTCAAAGGTGGCTGATTTTACGTCAATCCGATCAAGACGCGTTTCCAAAGGTAAAACGTCTCTGCTAGAGTGCCAACTCTGTGCACTATGCCGCTTCTTATTCTTGGACACGATAGTGTTGCTGCAGCTGTGTGACGTTGTTGTTTCCTGCTTACATAAACGTTTGAAACATTGTGCATTTTCTCGTACATCACATACTCCCTTGAAAACCATGAGGAGCCACTAGCTTTGAAAGCCGTATCCGCGGTTTTGTATGCGGCGTTATGGCGATCCCATTGCATCACGGAAATTGATTTCATTTTCTTCCGTAGGCGAATTTGTGGTGGCCCTTTCTCATTGGAAGAGAAGCTTTTGGCCCAAATCGCAGTGCCGGGGCGCGTAACGGTTACTGTAGAAAGCTCTTCCCTGCCCTCGCAGCCAATCGCAGTGGAACTTCCAAAAGTTCGTGTACCTCGCAGACGGAGGGAGGGATACATCCGTCCGTCCATCTCTTGGCACAAACGGTTGTTGGTTGGTGCAGCACCAACGGTGGTGCCGTGTTGTGCGTGGCTGTGCCCGCGGTTCTGACTGACGGGATAGACGGGTGACTGGGCTGTGGCTGTCAAGAGGAGATGAAGGGACACAAAGGCCCCAGAGAACCAGCGTGTTGCATGACGAACTACTGTACTGAGAGGTCTGGTGTTGCGGTGTGGTTGTGGAGCATCCACGTACATACTAGGCTGGGAACGAAGGCAGATGAATGGAACGACGAGTCCGGAAAATATGACATAGCAGAATAGTTTGGAGCTAGATCGGCATGCTTTTGGGATGTCGCGTTTGATGCTCTGGCTGTGAGCTACTAACCGCAACTTCTGACCCTGCTGTACTTAGTACATACTAAGATTCGAATGTACCGAGCGTAACGTACACGCATCTATCACCGCGAAAGCTGGATCTCTTTACTCATAGCGGGCGATTTGCACTGATCTGAGGGAACCTGTAAAGTTTCAGTAGCGTGACGGTGAACCTAGACCGAAAGAAATGGTCGTGAGATTACCCGACATGGAAATGCGTGCAAGAAAGTCGGTGGTTGTCGGAGCGACAAGACAAGATACGTTAGATGAGACGGATTCCGTCACGGAAAATCGCGCCGTTAACGGCGCGCGAGAGCCAGCTCTTGCGACGGCGACGTCCAGAAGTCGACCGCGACTCGAGCGGCAAGAGCCAGAATTTGACGAGCCGCGAGTTACGGCGCAGGAAGAAAGTGAAAGAGGGAAATTCGACAATGGAGAGGCGAAAGCGTATCTCGAAAATTCGCAAAATGGACTTGGTACCGATGGGAAGGAGAAAGCGCGATTCACGGACCGTAGCGGGATTCACGGGCGAGGAGGAGCGACAGGCGGTGCTGCTAACAGCACGGCGTTGATTTGCATGGCGCTGCTGGCTCTGCAGTATGGCCTGCAGCCGATTCTCACGAGAAAGCTACTAAGGTGATTGATGCTTGCGATTCTAGTGACATTGAATTGAAAGTCTCAAGTGTACTCATTCGGCTAATAATTTATCTAGCCCGGCTTCCGCCGTCTCGAGTGCGTACCGCCTTCCTTATCCCCGTCAGGCGGCGTTCTCTGTTGCTTGATCCTTCCTCGAATTCCCTCTCCTTTCACCTCTGACTCTCCTGTCAGTTCTCTCCTCAACTGAGTCCCCCTCCCCTCTCTCCCTCCCCTCCCTCCCTCCCCTTTCCTCCTTCACTCCCTCCCTCCTTGCCACGCCCATCGATCCCGAATCCGGCAGTCGAGACGTGCTGATATCGAGTCAAGTCATCACTTGCGAGTTGCTCAAGGTGAGTCAAGTCATCCCCGTGTCAAGCACCCCTGCAGCATCGAGCCCTCAACCTCCCCCACTCCCTCCCTTCCCCCCCTTTTGAGGCGCCTAAACTGTCTCTTGTTTCTGGGCGCATCAGCATTCGCGACATGCTGTTATCGACTCTTGCTTCCCTTGATGCGCACGCAGTTTTTCAATGCCTCGACATAACCCCATCCTCCTTCTCCCACCCCCTCCCCCCCTCTCACGTCCTCGTTGCCCTCACAGCCATATTCCTGGACGGCGCTCTCTTCACCGTCTGGCGCCACTGCTTTGATGATCGCACATGTTCCCAATCCCTCTCCCGTCCTCCTTCTCCTCACCTCCCCTTCCTCCCCTCCTCTGACCCCCTCCCCTCAGGTCCTCGTTGCCCTCACCCTCACAACCATATTCCTGGATGGCTCTCTCGTCACCGTCTGGCGCCACTGTTGCTCCGTCTGATTCTTGCACATGTTTCTTCCCAGTGCCCCCACGAAGTAATAACAGTCATCACTCACACCCCTCTTCCCCCCTCTCAGGTCCTCATAGGCCTCACAGCCATGTTCCTCCACGGCTTTCTCTTCACCGTCTGGCGCCACTGGCACCCTCTGGACTCGACTCAAACACAAGTAACCCATGCGTTGCCATCATCCGCCTCCCATCATCCCATCATCCCCCTCAGGTTCTCATAGCCCTCACGGCCATGTACCTAGACGGCTCTCTCTTCACCGTCTGCCGCCACTGGCACTCCTTTTGATGCTTGCACATCCCAATGCCTCTACATAGTGCTGTCCTGCTTCCACCCCTCCCTTCTTCCTTCCCCCCGTTCCGTCACACCCATCATGTCCTCATAGCCCTCACGGCCATGTTCCTGGACGGCTCTCTCTTCACCGTCTGGCACCACTGGCAACCCCATTGAGTCGATTCAACACGAGTAACCCATGCGTTGCCATCATCCGTCTCCCTCTACCCCTCCCCCCCCCTTCCTCTCTCTCAGGTCCTCAACCCTCACAGCCATGTAACTCCACGGCTCTCTCTTCACCGTATGGCTCCACTGGCGCTCCTCTTGATCCTAGCACATGTTAACAGTGCCTCTACGTATTGCCGTCCTCCTTCCCCCCTTCCCCCCTTACCCCCCACTCCTCCCCTCTCTCCCCGTTCCCCCCTCTCAGGTCCTCATAGCCCTCACGGCCATGTTCCTAGACGGCTCTCTCTTCACCGTCTGGCGCCACTGGCGCCCTCTGGACTCGTTAGAAGCTGCTGCGGTACCAGGCCTGCTGTACGCCGCCCAGAACACGCTCATCCAGATGGGCTTGCGCCACCTGGACTACCTGACATTTAACTTGCTGAACCAGACAAAGCTTCTTTTCACGGCCCTGTCTAACTACCTCTTCCTCGGGTGAGAAGGAACGTGGTAAGGTGGGAAAGTGGTGGGAAAGGGGCCCTCTCATTCAGAACACGCTCATTCAGGTGGCCTTGCGCCACCTGGACTACCTGACGTTCAACCTGCTGAACCAGACGAAACTCCTCTTCACCGCTCTCTCCAACTACCTGTTCCTCTGGTAAGAGTGAGAACGAAGTACAGTGGAAGAGAGGTGGGAAAGGGGCCACCTCATTCAGAACACGCTCAATCAGCTGGCCTTGAGCCATCTGGACTCTCACCTTCAATCAGACGAAGCTGCTCTTCACTGCCCTCTCCAACTACCTGTTCCTTAGGTGAGGTGGAAAGGAGGTAGGTGTGAAAGAGGTGGGGAAGAGGTGGCCTTGCGCCATCTGGACTACCTGACGTTCAACCTGCTGAACCAGACGAAACTCCTCTTCACCGCTCTCTCTAACTTCCTGTTTCTCAGGTGAGAAGGAATGAGGTAAGGTGGGAAAGGGGCCCTCTCATTCAGAACACGCTCATCCAGGTGGCCTTGCGCCATCTGGACTACCTCACCAGGCATGCTGTACGCCGCCCTGCAGTACCAGGCCTTTTGAGGCGCCTCAAAAGCCGCCCTGCGGTACCAGGCCTGCTGTACGCCGCCCAGAACACGCTCATCCAGGTGGCCTTGCGCCACCTGGACTACCTGACGTTCAACCTGCTGAACCAGACAAAGCTGCTCTTCACGGCCCTGTCTAACTACCTCTTCCTCAGGTAAGAGGGATCGAGGCGCGGTGGGAAAGGGGTGTGTAAGAGGTGGCCCTGCGCCATCTGGACTCTCACCTTCAATCAGACGAAGCTGCTCTTCACTGCCCTCTCCAACTACCTGTTCCTTAGGTGAGGTGGAAAGGAGGTAGGTGTGAAAGAGGTGGGGAAGAGGTGGCCTTGCGCCATCTGGACTACCTGACGTTCAACCTGCTGAACAGACGAAACTCCTCTTCACCGCTCTCTCTAACTTCCTGTTTCTCAGGTGAGAAGGAATGAGGTAAGGTGGGAAAGGGGCCCTCTCATTCAGAACACGCTCATCCAGGTGGCCTTGCGCCATCTGGACTACCTCACCAGGCATGCTGTACGCCGCCCTGCAGTACCAGGCCTTTTGAGGCGCCTCAAAAGCCGCCCTGCGGTACCAGGCCTGCTGTACGCCGCCCAGAACACGCTCATCCAGGTGGCCTTGCGCCACCTGGACTACCTGACGTTCAACCTGCTGAACCAGACAAAGCTGCTCTTCACGGCCCTGTCTAACTACCTCTTCCTCAGGTAAGAGGGATCGAGGCGCGGTGGGAAAGGGGTGTGTAAGAGGTGGCCCTGCGCCATCTGGACTCTCACCTTCAATCAGACGAAGCTGCTCTTCACTGCCCTCTCCAACTACCTGTTCCTTAGGTGAGGTGGAAAGGAGGTAGGTGTGAAAGAGGTGGGGAAGAGGTGGCCTTGCGCCATCTGGACTACCTGACGTTCAACCTGCTGAACCAGACGAAACTCCTCTTCACCGCTCTCTCTAACTTCCTGTTTCTCAGGTGAGAAGGAATGAGGTAAGGTGGGAAAGGGGCCCTCTCATTCAGAACACGCTCATCCAGGTGGCCTTGCGCCATCTGGACTACCTCACCAGGCATGCTGTACGCCGCCCTGCAGTACCAGGCCTTTTGAGGCGCCTCAAAAGCCGCCCTGCGGTACCAGGCCTGCTGTACGCCGCCCAGAACACGCTCATCCAGGTGGCCTTGCGCCACCTGGACTACCTGACGTTCAACCTGCTGAACCAGACAAAGCTGCTCTTCACGGCCCTGTCTAACTACCTCTTCCTCAGGTAAGAGGGATCGAGGCGCGGTGGGAAAGGGGTGTGTAAGAGGTGGCCCTGCGCCATCTGGACTCTCACCTTCAATCAGACGAAGCTGCTCTTCACTGCCCTCTCTAACTACCTGTTCCTTAGGTGAGAAGGAATGAGATGAGGTGGGAACGAGGTGGGAAGAGGTGGAAAGAGGTGGCCTTGCGCCACCTGGAGTCTGGACTACCTCACGTTCAACCTGTTGAATCAGACGAAGCTTATGTTCACGGCGCTCTCCAACTACCTGTTTCTCAGGAAGGAACGATGTAAGGTGGGAAAGAGGTGGGAAAGAGTCCACCTGGGAAAGAAAGAGGTGGGAAAGACGGAACTTGAAGAGTGATGCTCCTCCGAGTAAGAACGCTCTTTGATCAAAAGAACGCTCAAAAGAGGCGCAGGAGAAGCCACCTGCGCCTCTTCCAGTAAGATGCTTGTGTTGAGCAGCCTGCAGTTCCTGTCATACCAAGCTCCTTTTCAATCTTCACAGCCCTCTTTAACAATTTCGTCCTCAGGTAAGGCAGCAGGAATGAGAAGTCTTCACATGCATGGACCCGTTTCCTCACTTCCTTGAGCCTCAGGCTCAGGATTCGCCAGATTCGCCTGCAGCTCGTGGCTCTCTGACTGCTGCTCGTTGCTGTCAGGTTTTTAGGCAACGAGCACGCCTCAAAATTCGCATCTGCAGATCTGTAGGTCACTCTGTACACACTGCTTGTTGCTGCGAGAGGAGAACGGACTCTGCAGGACCTTGGTTCTGCCTACCCTCTCAACCTTGTTCGCTTCTGTATTCTCCTTTCCTCTCGCCCCTCGTCACAGAATTCGCCAGACTCGGATGCAGATCGTTGCCCTCTGCATGTTGCCTGTGCTTGATCCCTCTCAACCTTCTCTGCCTCGCTCTTCTCCTTTCCTCTCTCCCCTCGTCACAGAATCCGCCAGACCCGGAAGCAGATCGTCGGCCTCTGCCTGCTACTCGTCGCCGCCACACTACTCACCCTCAGCCCCGGCCCTAGCTCTAACCCTGGGCCTGGGCCTGGGCAGAATCTGTCCCAGGGAAGCAGTGCGGCAGAGGGAGGAGCCTTAGGGGGGGACGGAGCAGGAGAGGGGTTGTCCAGGGCTGCTGGCGTGGCTGCTGCTGCTGCTGCTGCTGCTGCTGCTGCTGCTGCTGCTGCTGCTGCTGCCGCGGCTGTTGTTGCAGCAGGAGTGGCGTGGGAGAGGGTGGTGTTGGGAGTGGTGCCGGTGCTGGTGGCGTCTGTGACGTCTGGGCTGGGATCAACGCACAACCAGTGGCAAGTGCAGGTGTGTGTGTGTGTGGGCATCAGATTGTGCTGTGATTGTGGGTGCGGCGGCCGCACTGCGGCCTCTGCTGTTGCTGCAGGTGCAGGAGTGGCGTGGGAGAGAGTGGTGTTGGGAGTGGTGCCAGTGCTAGTGGCGTCTGTGACGTCTGGGCTGGGATCAACGCACAACCAGTGGCAAGTGCAGGTGTGTGTGTGTGTGGGCATCAGATTGTGCTGTGATTGTGGGTGCGGCGGCCGCACTGCGGCCTCTGCTGTTGCTGCAGGTGCAGGAGTGGCGTGGGAGAGGGTGGTGCTGGGAGTGGTGCCGGTGCTAGTGGCGTCTGTGACGTCTGGGCTGGGATCAACGCACAACCAGTGGCAAGTGCAGGTGCGTGCGTGTGTGGGGGGTGCGTGTGTGGGGGGTGCTGTGGCTGCGGGTGTGGCTACTGCTACTGCTGCGGGTGCAGGCGTGGCGTGGGAGAGGGGAGTGGTGCCGGTGCTGGTGGCGTCTGTGACGTCTGGGCTGGGATCCACGCACAACCAGTGGCAAGTGCAGGTGCGTGCGTGCGCGCATGTGCGAGGGGGGTGGTGGGGTTGTATCATGTTGGCTCTAAGCATTGCTTGTGGCATCGGTGACATCGGTGGCATCTGGATTGGGATCCACGCGCAACAATGGCAACTGCAGGTGTGTGCGTGCGTGTGCGAGGGGGGTGGTGGGGTTGTATCATGTTGACTCCAAGCATTGCTTGTGACATCTGGATTGGGATCCACGCACAACAATGGCAAGCAAGTGCAGGTGCGTGCACGTCCGTTCTGGGGGGGTGCTGGTGGTATTGTCTTGTCTTATCCTCGCGTCTCATCGTTTACCTCTTCCCTCCACCTTCCTTTCCAGGTCAAGAGGCGCAGCCCCCATCTATTCAGTATCGAGATGTGTTCCCTCACATCCCTCGTCCTCCTCACCTTCTCCCTCCTCTCCTCTCAAGACGTTGCCCCATCTTTCCTGTCCTTGCCTTGTCTTACCTCCCTCCTCCCTCCACCTTCCTTTCCAGGTCAAGAGGCGCAGCCCCCATCTATTCACCATCGAGATGTGCTCCCTCACGTCCCTCCTCGCATCTCTTCCCCTTTTCAGCACTATTTGGGTCCTGTTGTCTTACCTCTCCTCTTCCTTCCAGGTCAAGAGGCGCAGCCCTCATCTATTCACAATCGAGATGTGTTCCCTCACGTCCTTCGTCCTCTTCGTCTCCCTCCTCTCCTCTCAAGACGGCGCCCGCATGCGTCAACTCGGCTTCTTCCACGCATGGACGCCGCTCACCGTCGTAAGGCCCATCATATCATGCATCCAGCCATCTCTCCCCACTGTGCGTCGCCACTGGGCATGCACATCACTGTTCCTCTCCTCTCCTCCCAAGACGGCGCCCGCATGCGTCAACTCGGCTTCTTCCACGCAAGGACGCCGCTCACCGTAGTGAGTCAGCATCATGAGTCAGCATGCATTCACTCACCCTGTCAAACACTACTGTGAGCCGTTGTGCCGTGCACGTCACTGCTCCTCCTCGCCTCCCTCCTCGCCTCCCAAGACGGCGCCCGCATGCGTCAACTCGGCTTCTTCCACCCATGCATGGACGCCGCTCACCGTCGTAAGACCCATCATGCTGCCATGCTTTTGAGTCGACTCAAAACCACCACCCGTCGCTTGCGATCCACTGTAAGGCACTGCTGTGATGTGAGGCATTGTACCTGAGAGAGAGACGTACGTCACTGCTCCCCGCTCTCCTCCTCTCCTCTCAAAATATCCAACCCACGTACGAAACAAAGCTCGCATTTTCGTTCCCGACCAATCAATCCTCTCAACCTCCTCCATCTCCCAACCACTTCCACGGTTCCACCCCCACCCGCACCCCTACCCCCACCCCCACCCCCACCCCCACCCCCACCCCCTCCCCCACCCCCACCCCCAACCCCACCCCCACCCCCACCCCCTCCCCCACCACACCTCTACCCCCATCCCCCAAATTCCAGCTTGATCAAACGTGGTAGGTAGGAGGCATTCTCGTGGGCCTTGTGACCAAATATGCCTGTTCCTGCCCACCCCTATCCCTATCCCCACTTCCACTCCTCTACCCCCACCCCACCCCCACCCCCAACCCCCAGATCCCAGCTCTATCAAACGCCATAGGGGGCATTCTCGTGGGGCTGGTGACCAAGTATGTTTTTCTGCCCGTATCCCTATTCCCACTTCCACTCTACCCCTCCCGGCCCCACCCCAACCGCAACCCACCCCTACCCCACCCCGATCCTCACCCCGCAGATCCCAGCTCTATCCAACGCCATAGGGGGCATTCTCGTTGGGCTTGTGACCAAATACGCAGGGGGCGTTAAGAAGGTATGCTGGGAGAGGGGAAGGGGAAGGGGAAAAGGAGGGGGGGAAGGGGAGAGGGGGGAAAGGGGGGAAAAAGGGGGGGGGGGGGGGGATGTTCAATCATGTGGCCGCACATGTGAAGGGGGGTTGTCGACTGCTATTGGGGGGGCATTCTCGTGGGCCTTGTGACCAAGTATGCAGGGGGCGTTAAGTAGGTATGCTGGGTGAGGGGCGAGGGGGAATGGGTGATGTCGTACAAGGGTTTCATTTCATTGGATCGTGGGTAATCCCACCATTTCTCGTGCCCCCACTCTAGTGCAGTATGCTCCTGTTCTGACGGCACGCCTCGCTTTCTCTTTGTCTGGATGGCCCTCCCTCTCACCCTCCCTTTGCCGCTCTTTCCAACTTCACCCCGCACTCTCCTTCATCCTTCCTCCTCGCAGGGGTTCAAGGTGATAGCGGGTCTGCTGGTAACCGCCATAGTGCAGTATGCTCTCGACAGCACTCCTGACACACGGGTTTCTTGCCCGCCTTTCCAAATGCTCCTCCTTCCCACACTCCCTCCTTGCAGGGCTTCACAGTGATAGCGGGTCTGCTGGTAACCGCCATAGTGCAGTATGCTCTCGACGGCACGCCTCCCTCCCTCTACGTCTGGATGGCCCTCCCACTCACCGTCCTCAGCACCTACCTCTACTCCTCCTCCGCCGCACCCCCTGCTGCTGCTGCTGCTGCTGCTGCTAAGAAGAGCAAGGAGCTCTAAGCCTCTAAGCTATGGAGCAGTTTGCTGGGGAACTTTCCTCTGGCAAAGAGCTGCTGGCGCGGGTATTACTGCTGCTGCTGCTGCTGCTGCTAAGAAGAGCAAGGAGCTCTAGGCTCTGCAGCAATTCTCTCTGCCATGCAATTCTCTCTGGCCGCCACTCCTCGCCTCCCACTGGTTGGATGGCCCTCCCTCTCACCGTCCTCAGCACCTACCTCTACTCCGCTGCACCCCCTGCTGCTGCTAAGAGCAAGGAGCTCTAAGCTACTGAGCTATGGTGCTCTGAACAGCATGCCACTCTCCCTCTCACCGTCCTCAGCACCCACCTCTACTCCGCCTCCGCTGCACCCCCTATTGTCTTTAATTGCTTGTGAGATATTTCAAATCTCATTGGCTGCCAGCAACCGCAGTGTGGGAGTGGCAGCTGCAGAGTAAGGGTTGCCTTGCATGTGTACAGTGCGATATCTGACAATGACAGTTGCTAGTACCGTATGTACATTATTACCGATAACAACTATAAATCAGAGTGTACATGCTTGAAGTCGCACAGTGACGCTATCCTACTCACCAAAAGTAGAAGAAAACAAATGCGTGTTTACGTTGTCTATTAGTTTCCTATCTTTGTTTTCCGTGGTTTGTAACTTGACAGCAAAACCGATGGACTAGTTAGTTGCACTATGCTTCTTGGTCGGGCTGAACACAAACCCTTCAAACAGAGAGTTGTCTAGTGGATCCATCCCTGATGCTGCATGAGTGTCAATCTTCAGATTCGGTTTCGCACCAACCTTCCCAGTCTTCCCGCCATTTACTTTCTCAGTGCCAGCTGGAGCTTTCTCATTGGAGGAGGTCTGGGCGGCCTTTGCAGGGGCATTGGTGGGCTTTGCTGCACCTGCAAGCATACACATTGGGAGAGGTTGGAAATCAGTGGGATAAAGACCGATACAGGGATTGAGGGGAGGTGAGAAAGGGGTTGTGGAAGGGTGAAACATTGGACGGGGAAATGTGATGGTGAAGGGGGTACAGGGAGATGCAGAACATGGTTACTGTACCATGGTGGCTGTCAGAGGGTGCAGCAGAGGAGGGTGGCTCCAAGGGATCGCTGATGTGAAGGCCCGTGAAGCTCTTATCAAAGTTTGACACATCCTCCATGCCCTGTTGGGTCAACATTCAGCAGATAGTGGGGAAGAAGGAGCAAAGGGGAGCAGAGGAGGGGGTTTGGTTAGGGATCGCTGATCATTGGTGTGAAGGCCCGTGAAGCTCCTATCAGAGTATGACACGTCCTCCATCCATGCCCTGTGAGTCATCACTCCAACACGGCACCCGGTAGGAGCGGAGGGAGGGAGGGAGGGAGGGAGGGAGGGAGGGAGGGAGGGAGGGAGGGAGGGAGGGAGGGAGGGAGGGAGGGAGGTGCATGCGAAAGAATAGGGTGCATTAAGGAGGTCCAACTCGAACTCGATCCCCATGAGAATCCCACTCCACATCACTCACTTACCTTGCTGCTGGGCACGAACGGGGGAGGCACCTCCCTGGCATACAGCCTGTCCCAGTCCATGCCTCGAAAGAACTCGTGCCTCATGATCTCTGCAGCGTCAGTTGGGCCTGCTCCGAGCCTCAGGCTCGGCTCTCGAATCAATAGCTGGAAAGAGGGTTGGGGGAGGGTAGGTGGGTGAGTGGGGAGTAAGTGGAGAGGAGTTGCATGCGGTATGGGGAAGAGCTGAATTCCCACCAGGAGAACATGTTTTACTGGCGTTTAGGTGTACTACGATTTAAGCTGAACTTTTCTGGATGCTTACTAAGGCTCGAACTTACACGATGAGTTTTTATACCTTACGAGATTTGCTCTGCTCCTCCAATATAGAGCGTTTACACTCTGAAAGTAGGATCCGCTGCCGCACCTTGGAAATGAGGTCGCGGAGGTAGAAGTTGGTGACGGTGACAGGGAAGACCAGAGGCGCGTTCACTATCTTGTTATACATTATGTTCACATTGCGATCGTAGAAGGGCGGCTGTGGTAGGGGGGGGGGGGGGGGTTGGGAGATGAGAAATGGGGAAAAAAATCCAAAGTGTTGTGATGGGGACAGGGAAGACCAGCGGCGCGTTCACTATCTTGTTATACATTATGTTCACATTGCGATCGTAGAAGGGCGGCTGGTGGAGGGAAGATGGGGAATTGGGAGAAACGGATGCAGGATATTGGGAGAGGGAGGACCAAACGCGCGTTCACTATCTTGTTATACATTATGTTCACATTACGATCGTAGAAGGGCGGCTGGTGGAGGGAAGATGGGGAATCGGGAACGACACACCACAGTATTGTGAGCATAGAAAGGTGGCTGAGGGCGGCAGAGGAGAAATTGGATAAGAAAATATGCAAGGTGGGATAGGGCAGACGGGAGGATGAATTTTGAGTCAGCTAAAAAACGGACCAGCAAACTCGTAGCAAGCACATTACTCAGCATACACTCACCACACCGACCACCATTTCGAAGAGGAGAATCCCCAGGCTCCACCAGTCCACAGCCCTACCATGGCCCTTGCCTCCCAACACCTCCGGGGCTGCTTGGGAAAATGGGGGGTTGGGATATGGTCCGGTCACTGAGGATAAGGAAGGTGGCGAGGCGTGATATACCAAAATGACAAGGCCCAGGAGCTAGAGTTTGAGAGAAATTGGTGGTTCATGATCAGGCAGGGAAGCCGGGATGGCCTATGCAGCATAGCATAAGAACAAAAACGCAAGTCATGGCTTCGCCCGGACTTGAACCGGAGACCTTCAGTGTGTTAGACTGACGTGATAACCAACTACACCACGAAACCGATGTGTCGGACCGGAATGGAGTCTATATGTCAAAAGTTAAAAACTAGCCTGAATTTACATGGGTGAACAAATTAGGGAACAAATTATTTCAACGTGTTGCTTACCGAGGTACTCGGGCGTGCCGCAAAAGGTGGAGGCGGATGAGTTGTCGGCGATGTGCTCCTTGGCCAATCCGAAGTCCGCGATGCGCACATGACCTGGCCGGGGGCCGAGTGGAGAACGAGAATGGATGGACAGAAATGCGCGTCGTGCACATCGAGATTATTATTATGCCACGCTGGCATCGCATCAGATAAGCATCAGGCCTGGTTCGGCCCCAAAATCAAGAGTCAGCATGGCAGGACAGGACGATTAGAAGGTAGTAGCATCACCACACCAATTAGTTGCTGCTTTTCCCTGCTTACGGCTTACCTTGAGCGTCGAGGAGAATGTTTTCGGGCTTCAGGTCGCTGCGACCGATCCATGGGGGGAGATTACGATGGGGGGAGAATCATGCGCAGGGGGAGAATCATGCGCAGGGGGAGAATCATGCGCAGGGGGAGAATCATGCGCAGGGGGAGAATCATGCGCAGGGGGAGAATCATGCGCAGGGGGAGAATCATGCGCAGGGGGTGGGGGAAAGGGAGGGTGGGGGGGAGGGGAAGAGAACAGGAGAGGGATGAATACTAGGCGCTCAGTGCTTGTAATGAGAGGGGCAGAGGGGTGCCAACAGCGGCGGAGGGCAGAGACAGGGACACCAACCGCGCGGCGTAGAGGCGCGCGCGCGGTCGTCCTTTTAGCGGCGCGCGGTCTGTCGCTATACCAGTCGCACAACAGTCACACGCCAGTCGCATACCGATAAATCACACCGAGCGAGTGCAAATGCCCCAGCGCGAGCAGCAGCTCCGCGGCGTAGAGGCGCGCGCGGTCGTCCTTGAAACGCCTTTCGCGCTTGAGGTGGAAAAAGAGCTCCCCGCCCGGCATGAAGTCGAGGATGAGAAAGAGGCGCGTCTCGGACTGCAAGGCCCATCTTAGAGGGACGAGGAACGGGTGACGCACCTCCTGGAGCGGATGGGGTAAGGATGACGAAATGGATGTGAGGAGTGTGGGGGAGTGTGGAGGAGTGTGGGGGAGTGGGTGGAAGAGAGACAGGTGAAGCACGAGCGGTGGAGGTGGAAGAAGAGCTCCCCGCCCGGCATGAAGTCGAGGATGAGAAACAGACGCGTCTCGGACTGGAGGGCCCATCTGAGAGGGACTAGGAACGGGTGACGCACCTCCTGGAGCGGATGGGGCATGCGTGGGAGTGGGGGAAGGGGGTTTGGGAGTGTGGGGAAGGGGGATGGGACTGCAGGGCCCACCGCAGCGGCACGAGGAACGGGTGTCGCACTTGCTGCGGGAAAAGGGAAGTGGGGAGTGTGGGGCCCTGGGGTGGGGAGTGTGCGGGGCTTTCGCACTTTTGAGAATTCTCAAAAGTAACATCAACTTTTGCACTAGAGGGTGGACGTAGGGCTCTCCGCCCGGCATGAAGCCCATGATCAGGAAAAGACGCGTTTCGGATTGGAGGGCCCATCTTAGAGGAACGAGGAATGAAGAACGGGTGACGCACCTCCTGGGGGTGGGAAGGATAAGCAAATGGATGGGGGAATGCGGGGAAGTGGGAATGTGGGAAAGAGGGAATGTGGGAAAGAGGGAATGCGGGGAAGGGGGAATGCGGGGAAGGGGGAACGCAGAGATGGTTCAGAGGAACCATCAAGTTTTCACAAGAAGAAAACTCCTTGAACACATCAACGCACATACATACGCACATAGAATGCACATACACGTACACATACACACACAACCGCCCTGCTGCCCCCTTCCCCCTTCTCCGCCCGTAACACACACACCCTCGCTCCACCCACCACCCACACCCACCTGCAGCACGTGTCGCTCGGTGAGTGTGTGCTGCAGCTGCTGCAGGTACAGACTCACATATGTATACATACATCAGTGGACACACACACCCCACCACCCACACCCACCTGTAGCACGTGTCGATCCGTGAGTGTGTGCTGCAGCTGCTGCAGGTACAGACTCACATATGTATACATACAGCAGTGGACACACACATCCCACCACCCACACCCACCTGTAGCACGTGTCGCTCCGTGAGTGTGTGCTGCAGCTGCTGCAGGTACAGACTCACATATGTATACATACAGCAGTGGCCACACACACCCCACCACCCACACCCACCTGCAACACGTGTCGCTCCGTGAGTGTGTGCTGCAGCTGCTGCTGGTACAGACTCACATGTGTATACATACACCAGTGGACACACACACCCCACCACCCACACCCACCTGCAGCACGTGTCGCTCGGTGAGTGTGTGCTGCAGCTGCTGCCGGTACAGACTCACATGTGTATACATACACCAGTGGACACACACACCCCACCACCCACACCCACCTGTAGCACGTGTCGCTCCGTGAGTGTGTGCTGCAGCTGCTGCCGGTACAGACTCACATGTGTATACATACACCAGTGGACACCCACACCCCACCACCCACACCCACCTGCAGCACGTGTTGCTCGGTGAGTGTGTGCTGCAGCTGCTGCCGGTACAGACTCACATGTGTATACATACACCAGTGGACACACACACCCCACCACCCACACCCACCTGTAGCACGTGTCGCTCCGTGAGTGTGTGCTGCAGCTGCTGCCGGTACAGACTCACATGTGTATACATACACCAGTGGACACACACAACCCACCAGCCACACCCACCTGCAGCACGTGTCGCTCCGTGAGTGTGTGCTGCAGCTGCTGTCGCCGCATCACCGCAGCCTTGTCCAGCACCTTCATCGCAAACACCTGCCCGCTGGGGGCATGGCGGACCAAGAGGACCTTGGGGGACGAGGGCGAGGTGTGGCAGGGAAAGTATTGGGGGATACAGCAATGGAAGCACAGGGTATGACACTGGGATCTGTTGTCGCCGCATCACTGCCGCCTTGTCCAGCACCTTCATGGGAAACACCTGCCCGCTGGGGGCATGGCGGACTAGCAGCACCTGAAAGTTGCCATGGTGAGAGTGGGTGCATGGGAAACGGAAACGGATGGTGTGTGGAGGATAGTGAGTGAGTGGGGTTAACGCGGCATGAGTGGGGGTCATGGCAGTGCACAAGGCGGCTCTCTGCTGCTGCCTCACCTTGGCCCTTACCTAGTGCCTTGCCTTGAGAGGGATTAAATCAAATAAATTCAGACGTCACTTGTCAAACAGAGCATGGGTTATGTTAGCAGCAGTTACTTCTTACCTTGGCGAAGCTGCCCTTTCCGAGAACCTTCAGAGGGATGAAATCGGTGATCTCCACAGGCGGTGCCACGTCAGCGTTGATGCTGCTGGCGACGATGTCAGCATCCTGCATTGACACGTCATTCTGGGCTCCCTTGAGGGGTTGGAAGCACGAAGGGCGAAGTAGAAGGGCGGGGAGGGTTGGAAGTGGTTGGAAGCGGTTTGATGCAGTGCAAGTGGTCTCGGACTGGGGTGGAACAAGTGTCATTGCAAATCCTACAAGCAACAAGCATTTCGGAACGAATCTTTCTCTGCCTACTTCCTTCACATCCCAACACTCACCATCAGAGCCGCAGCGTCAACCCCACCACCGGCCTCCTCTGATACCCCTGCTTCCGCCCCGCTCCCCACCACGGTTTCCCCACGGGGGGAGGTGGGCGCAGAGAAAGGGAAGACGCGGGCCGATGCTGCAGCCCAGAAGGGACGGATGGACTGGGGGGGGGGGGGGGGAGGGCAGAATAGAGATGGGAGGGATAACGGGAGCTGGATTGATGGATGAAGGGAAGACGCTGCTGCCGGGAAGGGTCGGACGGGTTGGTGGGGGCGAATGGGGGAATTGTGGTGAGGGAGCGCAGGAAGAAGAGAGGAGAGGATGATGGGAGGATGAGGAAACAATGCGTGGTGGTGGCGCAGAGTGCACTCAATCACAGATTTTGAGGGGAACGAGGATTGCATTTGATCGCAAGCTTGGTGCATGAAGAGGCAAGCAAGATGCCTTTGAGTGGATCGGAACTATGATTTGCATCACTTGCCTTTATCTTGGTTCGCACCGAAGCCAGCAGCTCCTCTTGATCCTGCCACAGATAGAGGAGAGTGGGGAAATGGGCAACAGGCGAATGCATGACACACACGTTGGACATCGAAATGCACATGGGATGCATGACATGAGGCACGTAGCTTCATGCATGCACATGGAGAAGCGCAAGAACGTGAGTCATGCAGGACTTGTCAAAAACGGACAGGTGGGCTGCAAGTTATGTGAGTCATGCATTTGTCATGATGTGCATGACATGACGTGCTCAAGCATCCAGGTGCTGTCTTAAGCTGACTTGAGCTGTCTTCTGCTGTCTCGTGCTGTCTCGTCCTGCCTTCACTCTATGCTGCCGTGACACCCTGACCACCGAGGTGACCCCTTGATTCACCTCAACAGCCATCTCTCCACTGTCAGACCGCACGGAACGACAAAATGTGATATATAGTATGAAGTCTGTTGCTATGATTGTGAGCACGTACCACCACGCCCACGTGGATGCTGGTGGACGCTGGCAGCTGTGGCCGATGGGAGTTACGGTAAGAGCAAGGGCGCATTTCAAGTCGAATCAAGGCATGCCTGAATTCAAAATACACCTTTTAAGCTGACCCAAACCACAAGGGCACGCACCACCACGCCCACGTGGATGCTGGTGGACGCTGGCAGCTGCGGCCGATCGGAGTTAAGCGCGAGGGCACGTTCAACAGCCATGGCTGCTTCCACTGCAAATGCTGACATCACCATCTGGCATATGGTGGGCGCGAGCGGTGTGCACAAAACAACATCCTTCTCCTGTAGAGAGGGGAGGATGGGGCAGAGGGATGAAGTGGGAGTGAGGGCTAAGGGCCCGTTTACAACAGCCATGGCTGCTTCCACTGCGAACGCGGACGCCACCATCTGGCATATCGTGGGCGCGAGCGACGTGCACAGCACAACGTCCTTCTCCTATAGGAATGGGAAAAGGGAGGTGGGGGAACGGAGACAGGCTGGTTAGAGGCGTCTTTGATACAGCGGGGTTGAGCGGCGTGCACAGCACAACATCCTTCTCCTGGAGGAACGGGGGAAGGTGAGGCGGGGTTTGGAGGGGAACCAAGGTTGATGAGAGAAGATCAGGGCAAAGACGAAGTACCTTCTCTCTCTGCATGCGTGTCCCAATGCCTTTTGGGACAGCAAGTGAATATGATTGACTGGATTGACTCACGTTGACCATGCCGATGGAGAACATGTGATTGGTCGACGACAGCAGCAGCTTAACCACCGACAGCACCGGGATGCACTGCCTCAGCTTCCCTCTGCTAGCCCTCGCTCCATGGCTGCTCGAAATTGGTCCGCTACTGCCGGCCTGCTGCGTCCCTCCCCCTTGATTTGTCACGTCTTCTGAAGAGCCATTTGTAGTGCCGCCGTTCTGCGATCCCTGACTCATCTTTCCATCCGCGTTAGTAACCTCCCCGAAATTCTCAACCTCTTCGGATGTCCTGAAATTCGACTCCAGTGGGACTGTAGTCAGGGCCGTGGCAGCAGAAGCAGAAGCAGCAGCAGCAGCAGATAGTGCTGCAGCGGCATTAGGAGAGCAGATAAATTCCTCGGATTTTGTGCCGATTTCGTCGTCTTCTTCCGAGCCGCTCCTATCCTCGCTGATCACCTCGAGGAGGTACAGAGCGCGGGACGTCAGCAGCAGCGTCAGAGGCTGACGGATTCCGTCAACAGTTGCTGGATGGTAGGTGCCAGCGGGCTTGAGTTGCTGGACGAACGCAGATAGAATGTCCTTTTCCGACGGCCGCCCTCCTGTAGTCACAAATCGTTACTGGAAAACCGGAGTGCAGGTGCAAGCTACCAAATATTTCAAACCCTCGATAGTATCACATGATCAATATGAGAGTTGACGACCTTACCAAGTGACCTGATAAGATTCCCAATCGAGATGTGCGAGGCGCTTTGCTGCTGCGGCGAGACTTCACCGTCGTCGTTGAGTGCTTTAGTGGAGAACCTCGCGCCGAGGATTCTCCGAGGAAGCACGAGAGAGAGCCTCTCTAACTGCTCGTGCGCATCCCTGTGCACTGGGTACGAATCCAGAGGCTGAGACATTTTGAACTATCAATTACTAGCAGTTCTGACTAAAAGGGGAGAACAACTCTTTATACCTCTTCGTTTCAACTACTTAATGCCGCGAATTTCAGACGGACGCTCTAGATGCTGAAGATGGGGCAGAAGGGAATAATCTGACTGGATTATTCTACTAGCAGAGAGGGTTCTGTCTGTGCTGTGGGGTGGGGGTGGAGCTCCTGTACCAAGATGGGGGATTTTGTGCCGTTTCGTCTTCGCAATTTGACGCGCCGCTTTTTGTGAAACGCCGAGTCGCTCTCCAGGTAGATCAGATTCACGGTGTGGTGAGAAATGCGCCGTTTCGCCTCCTTCAAAATGTTCGGACATATTCAGGTCTCTTCTACATTGTTCTTTATAAGATGTTTACTCATATATTCATACTCACAATTAAGGTAAGGTACTTGGTGTTGCTGCTGGTTCAGGTTTTAGAAGTGGAAATTAATCATGGGCATGATTACTTACGGTACCTTTTGCAGTGCCAAGTATTGTCTAGATGGGATGTGAAATGGAACAAACACACCATTTACTCGGTCAGTACACTCAATCTTCACACGTCATGTACAACGCCTCATTCTAAAAGCTCTCTGACTTCCATATTCAAAACCATCACGTAGTACAGTACTTAGTAATATAATTAGTATCAGCAATTGTTCCCTCACAATCACCAAAGAACACCTGGGAAGGGGCAACAGCTCGGGTTTCTCGGAATACTTGGTGGGGTCCTTGACAGCCGCGGTAGGGGTAGCTTTGCAGAAGGCACAGGCTCGGGTGCTTCTTTTGCGGGCGGCATACACGTTGGGTCAGTCCGAGGCGGAGTGGGTGGAGCGAGGGGGTGGGGAGCAGGAGTTTGGAGAGGGAGCACCATGGGTGGACGTGCCCTACTTGGTCGACATGCGGCTGTAGATGTCTTAGGAAGCAATACTTTGTTTCGGGTTTTGGCGATGGTCTTTTGATGTTTGAGGTAGTAAGACACTTCTAGGAAGGGTTTATGCATGTCTGTATGCTTGTTGAAATGTAATTTTGACATTTTAAAGAACACCTGGTCTGTCCAAGCAATCAGTTCAGATCAGTTATGATTACAGTAACTCACCTCCACCCATGCAATCCAGCATTGCCCTCACCAGAGCATTATCCAGAAACTCCAGGCCCTGAGGAACCTCTCCCAGCAAGCACCCCATGTCATCCATGGGCATGCCCCCCAAACCACCCCCGAAGAACCCTAACGCATCCCCATCAATAGCTTCGTCCTTAAGACTTGCTTCGGTATACGTATAATCTGTCCGCGTGACGGCACTAGTTGGCGAGCTAGGGTCGTTGACCTTGTGAACGGCGACTTCAGCCACGGAAGCGTTATAGTCAGCCCTGTTAAAAGTACCATCCACGTCCTCGCTATGTTCAATACACCGCAACTTCTTCGCAGGTGCTGCCTCGTCGCACGCCGGAACGGCTTCGAATAAATTCGCAGCGGGAAAGGCAGGCGAAGGCAGCTGCGACGGAAGCTGCGACGGAAGATGCGACGAGATTTGCGACTGCCTTCCAGTCGAGCTCATCTCCTTTCGCAACCGCTCTACCTCCTCCTTCATCCGCTCATTCGCCGCGCGAAGGTCATCCACGCTCGTCTCGGCCTCCTTCAGCTTCCGATTCGCCTCCTCACGCGCTTGTGTCAGAGCAGCGACCTCGTCCTCAAGGTCGTCGAGTCGCTCGCGCTTCCGCTGCCGCGACCGCTTCGCCGACTGACGATTCGACATGATCCGGCGGACTTTTTTCTCCCCGTCCTCGTCTGAATCCAGTTTCGCGTTGCTCGCGAAGTTGATTCCGAGAGCGCTTAGAGGGCTTGCAGCTGCGATCATGTTGTTGCTAAGAGGGGATACGCCTGAGATGACGTTGCTGCAGAGAGGACGTACACCCGATATAGTAACACCTGGTCCGTTACTCATGAAACGGCTCGATGTAATGGATGCGGGTATCCCCACTGACGGCGGCGAAACCGCCGGAATCCCAGGCAGCGAGGAAACAGGACAATGGGGAATAGTAGCGGATGATTGGAGGGGAGCAGCAGCAGATAATAACACAGAAGTTTCGGTAAGGCCAGTGGAAGTGAAAGTCATGGATCTGCCATTGATCCCAGCCGACGGAAACCCTATGGCTGAAGGTGCCTGCTGACGGGCGACCGTTAGATTCACACGCCTCTGTAGCTGAGCCAAAAGGTCGTCTTGGCTCAGAGCCGGCTCATTCGCCGCCTGCTGCTGAAACGCGGCCCGGTTCTGCTTCGCTGATTGGTGAGTTTGAAGACCGGCAAGGAGTGGAGAGACTGCGCTGTTCTGCTGTGTTTGTGCCGGCTGTTGCGCTTGAAAACCGGCCATGAACTGAGAAACTGCTCGGTCAAAATCTTCTGAGACACGGGGACGGCTAAGAGGTCCATCGGATCGGGATTTGGGGTTGGCGGAAGGTGCGACGGCGGACGAGAGGGGGACTCGCTTGATCTCTGGTGGGAAACACATGATGGTTTTTTGGTGAATCTACGCAAGTCACGCTAATGAAGTAAATCAAGAGCTAAAGAGAAAGGAAGTTGCTAGTGGTGCGACTTCAGCAGAGGAATGAGTGCTGATAAGGTAAACTGGAGGCCTGAAGTGTTGTGCTGTGTGCTTGAACCAGGATGAAAGGGGGGGAAGAAGGACGCTGGCTGGAACGGCAAGCTGGAGAAACAACAGGGGAAGGAGGAGGTTGATGACTGTGGCTTGAGCTGAGCAGTCATGCAAGAAGGAGGTCAACTTGAAACTTCCGTCACGGCCGAGAAAAATGGCTGGGAAAATCGGCTTCTCGCCGAAATCAGGGAAATCGATTTGATGCAGGCAGGGCTGCTCGCCAATCCTCGACTGCGAACAGCAGTCGCATTGCTGCTCTCCCCAATCACTGATTGGGATTGTTGCTTGAACGCACTCGTGTGATATTTGATCCGAGGGACAGTTGGGGAATATCTGATATCCCCTCTTGAAATGGGGGTCAGGTCAGGAGGACCTGAAACTGGGTGCGGATGACACCCTACGGAAGTGTCTTCTTGAGGTTGATTGGCTGGAATTTACAGTCGATGCCCATTAGAGGAAGCAAACTCGCCTTATCAAAAGGACGGGATGCAGAAACTGTGTACCGTCTAACTCGCCAACTTCGCCACGGGGAAACACGGGACATAGTGCGCAAGGGGTAACAATTTCAAAAAATATGGAAACTGGGCGGTTGACAGTGCGATAAAGCTGTCCGATCAAAGGCTGCGATCAACCAATGGGAATGAGGGTTCGTTGCCCGTGTTCGAACGCACGAGGGAAAAGGTTTCAAAATCAACAAGAAAATGCACGAGATACGTTTGGGCATCGACTGTACTTCTTACACCTGTGGTGACCGGTCAAGGTGTTACCTGGGGCTCAGTGCGTCTGGTTTGGAGGAAGCAGGCTGGATCGCGCCGATCTCGGAAATTAGACGGTCGAGAAAGCCTTGCTCTTGGTCAATTTTTTTGTTGTTGAGCATGGCTCAGCAACCGAATGCAAAAACGCCCCGAAAACAGAACCGGGTCGAAAAGAACTCTTGGATTGACTCTACGGAGTGTACATGATCCAAACCCCGCATGGCTTCTGTACCCCAAACTAAGCTCGATCCCGATTTGGTCGAATATTACGCGCATAACGGGATAAACGGTTATCTAGGGGGGGGGGCGGTCGACACCAACAGTTGATCCGAGGTGGGTAGGGAAATCAATCTGATTCGATTCGACTGAGGCATCCAACCTAAGGACCAAGCTAAAATACGGACGGCTGGTGGTGGTGGACAGCTGCAATGGGGAATGGAAGACATGCCGAAATGCCAAGCAGGGCATCAATTTCTTGCTAACTGTGATGTCAGCAGCAACAACCTTATGTACATCCTGCCAAGAAACACGCTGGTTGGCCAAGATTGTGAGCCGATGAGTGTTCGTCTGAACGCAGACCAGCTGTATGCCGCCTGGAGTTCAACTCGTATCGCAGTTGAGACAATATTTGCGAGTGGCGGGACCAACCGTCGGAGGGAGGTGTGAAGAACCGTAGGAAACATCGTGAAACGACCACAGGTTCCTCCAGTGGCCGTGCGATGACGGCGATGTGGATCTGCAAACTCTCCTCAGAACTATTTACCCAACTTATACAGAAAACATTGGCGCTAGAATCATGCCCGAGAACTTGTAATGTTATCAGTCCGTACCTGGCCACTGTCGGGATATATGTGCTTTTAGCGCAGTCGTATCCGGGGTCGCTGCTTTGTACCTTGGTTTTGGAATAACAATCAAAATAA